AAAGTTGCATGATTCGATAAATCAGTGGAATCTGTATGCTGTGTACTCTTTAGGCTGTTACCTCAGTAACCGGCATTGAAATACATCACTAAGGTTAGACCTATTTCAAATTACACAACTTAAATTGAGTATTAGGAATTGACCATGTCTTTTAGACTTTTTACTTCTGAGCAACAAATAAAAATGTACCACTCCTCGAAAGTAAACAGCTATTGCCAATCATTGACTAATCCCCTATTGCTCAAAATAGACGTACATGTATATAGTGATAATTGGTATTCATTATATTGCGTGGTACAACACCAGAGTGTGTATAGACCAATAACCTCCTGAAAGTCACAATGATTTCTTTCTCTCTGCCTAAGTGATATCTCAGTGGAGTTATGGGCAGGGCTATAAAAGATAACACAACAAAATTTATTGATTCCAATTCAATATTCTCTTTAAGGAGCAAATTGGTTTAGCTTGATCACTGCTAGATCACCTCGGCCAACTTCAGTAACTCAGTCAGGCTTTTTCTTTCCTGAGACAATTGAATACGCACTTAATGAGTCATCACTACTATAATGTCTGAAACAAGGCATCCAATTTATACACAGAAATCTCTGACAAAACGGAATTTAAAATTGAGCATGATAACCTCTTTGATGAAGTTGCTTGAGTGATAACATTTGCAGAATATTAGGATAAATCTGTTGTACCATTTTCAAATAGTGATTGTGGAATTCTTTAATCCACATGAGTGAACATTCCTTTACTTCCCACTCAGATTGCACTGCTTCCTCAGTAGTGTCAATGAGACCCTGCCATGCTTCCTCAACACTCAAGCTCAGACAGGGTAGCCCTCTCTCTGTACTGTCCCTTTGAAATCCTATTCTCCTCATTGTGCTGAACCTGCACAGGGTAAATCACCCATATTACTGACACTGCACAGAGCAGCAGTCTCATAGTGCTGACGCTACACAGAGCAGCACTTCCACAGTGCTGACGCTGCATACAGTTGCACCCCCGCAGTACTATTACTGTACAGCATAACATTCCAACAGCACTGACACTCCAACACTGCTGCACTCAATCAGTATCAACATTCCAATTATGCAGCAATCCCAAAGGGCTGACACTCCAACAGTGCATACCTCCCTCAGACTGAACTTCTGAAAGTGTTGCACTGCCTCACTACTGACTCTACGGCAGTGTAGCTCTCCCTCAGTACTGACCATCCAATGGCTATAAAACGAGAAGACAAAACATGCGCTCAAGACTTTCTCATTGGTCATTTCAGAACATATTAACTTTTGTCTTATATTGATGTCCTCTAATTAAGAATCACACTACATCAGATGGACCCAACCAACTATTCCACAATTTCAAGCGTCTCCTTTCACATTACAATTAGTGCTCACTCTTCTAACGAAAAGAGCTCCAGATTGTAAAATCACCCCTGAAAGACATAGCATTCAGTTCTAAGACCTTTTAAGACCGCAACAATTAGGGACAGAGTAGGCATTTCGGCACCTCAAACCTCATCTGCAATTCACTTGGATCGTGGCTCATCCATTATTTCTCATTTTTTCTTTCTCGTCCTTTTCCTACAACACACGATTCCCCAACTGATCAATAATCTATCTGCCTCAACCTTAAACATACACAACGACTCTGCGCCCCACATTTCCCTCTGGCAACGAGTTTCAAAGACTCACTAGCCTCTGAGAGAAGAAATTCCTCTTCATCTCAATTTTAAATTGGCGCTCCTTTATTCTGTGACTATGTCTCTGTTGTAAGACTCTGCAATGAGGGAAAAGATCCTCTCAGCATTTACCCTGTCAAGCCGCTTAAGAGTCCTGTATGTTTTAATGAGATTACCTCTCATCATTCTAAACTCCAGTGAATAGAGTCCCAATCTGTTTAAACCTTGCTTGTGAGACAATCCCCCCAAACCAGGGATTATTCTTCTCAGAACTTCCTCCAATGCAATAGTATATTTCCTGAAATATAGGGACTAAAACTGCTCAGTAGATTCGGGTACAATTACAACGTTTAAATGAAATTTGGATAAGTGCATGAATAGGAAAAGTTTGGAGGGTGCAGGAAGGTGGGGCTAGTTTAGTTTGGAATTATGTTTGGCATGGACTGGTTGGACTGAGGGTCTGTTTCCAAACTGTATGCCTCCATATCTCTATGTGGTCTCACTAGAACCTGTACAGTTGCACTAAGACTTCCTTAGTCATGCTCCAACTCCCTTGAAATACTTTCATTTGTACCTTCCTCAGTGTCACCTACTGCGTTAAAATGGATATACAAACAGTGATCTAGATTCGATGTGGGGGTTAAACGCAATTTCTAGACTGGGCTATAATTGTATTTTTGTAATCTTCTAACAACATTTAGCACTGCTATTTAACCGTTAGGAACCACGCTGGATCCATACCTTGAACCTTGAACTTAAATGGGAAAAGAGTAAGACACTTACGTCCTTGGCTCTGCAATCGTCTTTCTTTGCAAATACCTTGGCACTTCTGTGTCATTCCTCCCTCTGCCTTTATTAGTTTTGTTTTTAGTCGAAGTTTACTTTAGATCTTCCAAAGCTACAGACTTTTAGTGCAGGTGTGTATGAATGCAAACTGCTTCCAAAGGAGATCGGTTCAAACAGTAATATGCAACCCATGTCAACCGAGTATCGAAGCAACATTTGCACCCTTGACTTTGCAAACGTAGAATTTTTCTGATTGATAGTTTGGGAGGTCACAAGTGCATAAAATGCTCTCCGTACCGAGTGTGCTGTGTCTGAAGAGGTTGTTGATACTGCTTTCCTTATAAGACAGAGCAAACACGACATGAGAGAGGAAGGAGGTCAGATCGGGTTCAACAGCAGGAAGAACAGTGAAAACAATCAATAGAGACAGGAGACAGAAACAAAGTAATCCAGAATATCAAACGAATAAACAACCAACTATTCACGCACCAAATTCTCAGAATGGCCTTCTTCCGGTTTCTGTGCAACCAGCTGGAGGAGGGGATGAATGGTATCGGCATCTTCCTGTCTAAGTAAAAGGGGGTGAATGGCCTCATTCTGTTCCTATGTAACAGGCTGGATAAGGGGATGTATAATCTCCTCCTGTTCCTGTTTCAACAGGCTCCCGAGGAATGGAATGACCCCCTCTGCAGTTTCTTTATTGCGAGCGCCTGTGCTTGACTGACCACACCATGACTCAGAATTACTCCACCATCATTTGGTAAAGTGGCAGCTTCGAATAACTCCACCTCCTAAGACAAAACTGATATTTTAATTTTAAAATATATATTAATTTCGTAAAAGTATCTTTACATGCGTATATAGACATTTCATTTCTCTGCAGTAGCATATGGAGAAACAAACAAACATTGGATTTGGACTCTATTCAACAAACAAACCAAAGGCATCTCTAACCTGTATAATATATTTACATATATTTGAGGTACCAGAAGGATCTGATAACTGAAAGGAGTCCCATTTAACATTGACAGAAAGACCCCAGACTGTGGTCTTTGCCCACTGAGCCTTGGCAGCAGCTGAATCAATCTTTGGTGTATTCTGCAGCATGTAGTCCTGGACCTTGGAATCGGCTAGTCTTTAAGACTCAGTTGAGGTCAACTCCTTGCTCTGGAGGACCCACAAGCTTCGAGCAACCAAACAGTGTCTTTCACTGAGTTGATGGTCCTCCGGGGCAGTCAGTGTTTGTCTCGGTATGCATCCCAGGGAACAGACCCTGGAGTACAGAGTCCAATGTTAAGGAGCTACTCAGGATGAATTTCAACGAGAACCACAAAATTACATTCCAACACCTGGATCTCAAAGGACAGCTGCAGCTAAAAGACTTTGAACCCAGCAAAGAGGTGGAGCCACACACCTTACCTTTTTTTGTTCGAGTGTGTATCACCGTGGGAACAGGGAGCTCACGATGATACAATCCAATGCAGGTCCTACACAAAAACCCCTCAGATTATCAGGCGAAGAACGTTAGTAATAGCACCGAATCTTTCAACATTTGTAACTGGGTTATTATGGGAACCAAGGCATTAATGTCTTCAAACGACATTGAAACTTGCACTGGCTTTGGGTTTTGGAAATGGGAATGGGTTTTGGTTGTAACGCCTTGAACAATTGATTATTCCTCACTTAGATCGAACACTGACCTCTCGGATGGATATAAACCAACGATCAACATTCCAAAATGTGAGATGATTATGATCCGAATTGCTATCCCGGAGGAAATTCAACTGTTCGTGTACCCCTCTGTGAGAACCACTCTGGAAAGTGCTTACTATCTGAAAAAGGGCGCCCTTTGACTTGCTCTCCACATTATTTTAAGATGGATTGGCTTTGACTCTTTGGCAAAAGGAGACTGATGTGAAGTGATCTGATGGTGTGCTGGAAGAGAAGTTCATTTCGGGCTGGGGTCCAAACTGACGGTATTAGGTAAGGAAATTGGCAATATAAACCCTGCGTTTTTTGTTTTGCTTTGAACTGTCTTGATTCTTTTCTGGGCTTTCTCACGATCTATTCTGCGAGGTTGGTCTGTTATAACTCGTCTGAACAGCGACGAGAAACCAGGCTAGTTTCTCAGTTTGCGCATCTCTCTATTCCCTTTGTGTCTTAATCACAGCTCTAAGGAAACTCGAGCGTTTGATCTGCTTTCCAAGAGAATGATTTTCATTCAGGAAAATAAGTCACCCAGTGTCAGCTTAATGTAGTTAGTGATAGAGTAAACACTTGGTTAAGTACAAGAGCAGGAAACATCTAACCTCCTATAGTTACATGCATCTGGGCAGAATTTGTAGACTTGTTAATGTGATCCGTGGATGTGAAAGTGGATTTAGTTGATTACAGGACTGATTGGCCACCTCACCGCCCCATAGTTGTAGGAATTTTTCTGGTCCTTAGGATAGGTGGAAGTTGAATAGAATAAATAAAGAGCACTGGTTGTGACGGGGATTTTGAAACAGGGTGGTACTGCTGTGTTACAATGAAGCATACTTCGGAACTGGGACAAAGGTGGTCGTTATGGGTAAGTGAACGAACTAGTAATACTGCAAGAGTTATTATAAATTGTGGATCCATGCGGGGAAGGATGGTGGTGAGGGAATTGACAGAGTAAAAAGTGCTGAAGCTGAGTGAAATGATTTAGATCTTGTTGCACCCATTATACCGTAGGAGAAGAGAATGAGTTGGAAAGTGATGGAGATTCTATAAAATTAACAGAACATGCAATACTGAAGGAGCAAATAGAATCCCAGACATTGACGTGTGAGAATAGCAGACTTGACACGAATGTAGATTGAAAACTATGGCCGTTCAATTGCATTTTATGCAAGTCTAATCTACAGCTTGTAGAATGTTTTAGAGGCACCAGCTAAGTTTTTCTTAAGAATTAACAACGTTGATGCCAAACCAAGAGGTTAGAATCACCAAAAGAGACGAAACATTCATAAAACATCACAGGAACAGGCTTTTTGGCCCACCATGCCTGCGATGACCGCGGTACCTTTCTAAACTAATCCCATCTAGCTGCATATGGTCCGTATCCCTCCTCTTCACTGTGTGTTCACGTGTCTGTCGAAATGCCTCTTAAACGTTGCTATCATTTGTGCTTCGACCACCTCCCTGGGCAGCTTATTCCAGGCACCTACAACCCTCTGTGTGAAAAAAAAAAATCTTTCCTCCTCTCACCTTAAATCTATGCTCCCTAGTATTTGACGTAGCACACTGGAAAAATGACTATCCAACCTATCCATGCCTCTTATTGTATATTCTTCTATCAGTTCGCCCCTCTCATGCAAACAATCCAAGTTTTCCTTATAGTTATTCCAGGTAACATCCTTTGCAAAACGTCCACATCAATCCTGTGGTGCGGTGACCACAACTGCACACAATATTCCAAAGATGGCCAATTTCAATTTTGTGCACCTGCAACCTGACTTGCGAACTTTTACGCCCAATGTCTGATTGATGAAGGTAAGCATGTTGTATGCCTTCTTTGCTACTTTATCCATCATAATTGTCTCCTCTTCAGGGAGCCTTGGTCTTGGACCTCAAGTTCCCTCTGTATATTAATGCTGTTAACCCTCAAGGTGACAGAAGGCTGCGTGCATGACCCTGTATCAATGAAATAGGTGTTTGGATGAGATAGACGTCTGGAATAAGCTTCTATTTGTTGAGAACACCATACCTAGAGGCCCTACGTATATGGACGCAAGAAAGGATTCAAATCCTCTATTCAGGAGAACCATCTGTGCTCACAGAGTGACAGAAATGTGTAACATTACACACGAGATTAGATTGATGAGAAGAGCATGGCTAAATTAAAGGATGAATATAGCTAAAAATATGAAGAGGAAAGCGGTTTTGTGAAATTACTGGGAAAGAGACTGAGTGTGAAAAGTAAATGGCAGACCAGAGAAGATGAAGTGAAAGGCTTCTTTTTCTTATGTCGACTTATCTGTCCAAGTTTATGTCTGAATTTGGAATGAGCTGGGGTACTTCTGATGAATTTACAAGGGGAATTTACAAGGCAAATTTACTATTGTATCCAACTCTTAAAATACCATGAACACGTTCAGAAAATAATCAAGGTGACTAGTGGAATGCTGGTGTTTATATCTAGGCTACTTGAATAAAAAGACACAGAAGTCATACTATAGATATACCAAACCCAGGATAGTCTCTGCTTCGACATTGTGAGCAGATCTGGGCACCACATCATGGGAAGGATATATTGGCTTTGAAGGAGTGCAGTGCAGGTTTACAAAATTGATAATTAGACTTCAGAGGTTCAGTCATGAAGAGAGTTTATATAATTTAGGCCTGTTTTCTCTGCAATTTAGGAGGTTAATAGCTGATCTAATCAAATCCTTCCAGATGTTAACAGGAAAAGACAGGGTAGATAAAGATAAACTATTTGCACTTGTTGTAGATTCTAGAATGAGGGGGCATGATCTGAGAATTAGCGACAGGGCGTGCAGGAAAGATGATATAAAGCACTTCTACACAGACGGTGGTAGATGCTTGAAACTATTCCACAAACGACAGTTGATTCTGGATTGGTTGCAATGTAAAAATGTTGAGGGATATGGACCAAAGGCAGCTATATGGACTTAGGCCACAGATCAGCCATGATCCCATTCAATGGTGAAACAGGTGCGAGAGGCTGAATGGCCTACTCCTGATCGTATGGTGTCATTATTTAATGAGGCTATGATGCTTACTATTTCTAGCAATGCATTGATATTTGAAGTTGATGGCTTTACCGATTTAATCGATTAAGATAGTTAAAGGAGTCGTTAAGATAATCAGAGGGTACCTTTCCCCTGGTATCCTGGGAGTAGAGATTACCTTAATAATAAAAGTATCCTGTTAACGAGTGATGCAAGTGTAGATACCCATACCCGCTAGGCGCTTCTGAGACTTGACTGCCCACGGAAACCCTCCAGCTCTAAAATTCATAGTCTCTGAAAGAAAAGTATGTAATAAAGTCAGATTTGTCAGGAGTGTGCTAAACTGGGCTGAATGGCCTCCAATCCTTTTCCCACTTTGCTCTGTCCCGTGGTTCCACGGGTTCCCTTGTCATTAAGGGCAGCACTCACAAAAAGCTTAAAGGTTTTGAGACAGGGATCTAGCTTTGTGTTCTGCTAGCATTTACTACTTCGGGGCTGGCACAAAGTTGACTGTTTTCGGTAAGTTTGTTGATGTATAACTGTACAAATGTCCATAGTTTGGTCTATCAACTGTGACCGGCTGTCTATCCCTACGTCTAGCAATGGGTAATATTCATTTGTCTGTACATCTGTGAGTCTACTTAACTAGTCGTGTGCCTCCTTATGCAATGTGGGTGATGTATTTGGTAAAGAGTACAGGCTATCTATTTTAGGGAATGGTCAACATTCATTAGGGCAGCATGGTTACTCAATGGTTAGCTCTGTTGCCTCACAACTCCAGGGAATTGGGTTCGATTCCACCCTCGGGAACCTGTCCGTGTAGATTTTGCACATTGTCCCTGGGTCTATGTGAGTTTTCTCGCACAGTCCAAATAATATACAGATTCGGTCGATTGTCCATGCTAAATTGCTCATAATGTGCAGGAATGTGCAGGCTAGGCGGCAGCTGGATAGGATGCTCTTCGGAAGGTCAGTGCAGACTCGCTCGGCCAAATGGCCCTCTTCCACACTGTAGGAATTCCATGATTCCTGATTTTGAACAAGTTAGTATTTATTCCATGAGATATGTGTCACAGGGTTAAATCTATGTCTACAGTTATTTAATAATTAAAGCTACTCTAGTTGTTTCCAGGACTGTAACTGTAGTTGGGGTGGGGGTGCAGATGTGTAAAATACCATTTACATTGGACGGACGGTATGTTGGAAATGGTGTTAGGTTAAATTTTGAACCTGCTGCTCTGCATAAATATTTTAAATTGGCTCGTGGCCGGCTTGAGTGATCCAAACACCCCAGTCAGATTTTAATGAGACTGGACGGTTCCTATTGGCAAGACATTGAGTATGAACGGCAGGGATACTGTGAGATCCCAGTAAAGTTTCTCCATAAGTATTCCACACTGTGTTTTAGGAGTAAATATTATTTTTCCAGCGGTGCCACGTTGGTTGTGACTGGTGAATTCAGGGATGTTCAGCTAATTCTGAGTGTGTTTTCAAAATCATTGGGAAGAGTATGGGGTGGGCTGGAGTCAATTTAAATGTCCAGATCTAATGGAAATTCTTGGCTGCGCAATACGTTTGATATATGGATGAGAGAAGACGCGTGGTAGAATCAAAGCATCCCATCCAGAACAGTCCCATAACCCAGTATTTCCCCGGGTTAATTCACCTAGCTTGCACAGCCCTGGACACTATGAGATTGTTTATCATAGCCAATCCATCTATCTGCACGCGTTAGACTGGGAGAGGAAACCCACGCACACACAGGGAGAATGTACAGATAAGGTGGAATCCATCTCGAGTGTCTGACGCTTTGAGGCAGCAATGCTAATCACTGCACTAACCATTCCACCCATCAAATGAATTGTGTGCAAAGAAAACTCGCCGAGAGACTGGGAATGCCTCACAATTTGTTCACTGTTGACACCCAAATATGAACTGCCCGTTAGAGACCATAATTCTTTTGTTTTACTTAGTGAATTGAGAAATCGCACTCTGAGAGCTCCAAGTATTGTTTTGGTGAAGGGATAGAGTTGACTGTGCTGTGTGCATTGGAAGTAAAGAAAAGACAACCACTTCTGCTCATCATGATTGTCAGTCTGAACATGAAAAATGTAATCATTAAAATTAAAAATTATTTCCAGACTAAACAATCCCGAACCCTTTCTGAATTGAAAGTATCATAACTCGATTTCAGTGAATAACTATCTCAAATTGTCCTGGAGAAGATGGTGGTGAGCTGTTTTTAGGCTCTATTACTGTTGTTGCAGTGTAAGTTGAACCCTTGTGTTACTGGTGGGAGAGTTTTCGAAATTTGATACATGTCCTTTTGTATCTTAGTGTTTATTCACATTCATATAAGTTATAACATCAGTAGTCTACAGCACAGATACAGGTCTTTTGGCTCAACTCATCTATCCCGAACAGGTTTCTTAAACTTGACAAATCCTATTTGCCTGTGTTTGGCCCACATCCCTCTATATCTCTTCTACCATTGTACCTTTCTAAATGTCTTTTAGCTGTCGTAACTGTATCTGCATCTACTACTTCCTCTGGCAGCTCGGCTATACACAGACCACCCTCTGTATGGAAATATTGCCCCTCAGAAATCTTTTAAATCTTTCCTCTCTCATGTTAAACCTATGCCACGTAGTTTTGGACACCCCTAACCTGGGTAAAAACCTTAACTATTCACATATCTATTCCCCTTGTGAGTTTATAAACCTCTATAATGTCATCTCACACTTTGTTATCATTCCATTCATGGAACCCCAAACTTACCAAACCACAACATCATGATTAAATGATCGTTTATTGTTGGTGAGTATTATCCTCAGCACCTCTTTCTACTTCCTAT